GGGGGAGTAAACAAACCTCATCTCGATCCACGTTGAATAACGGGTCTGAGGATAGAGCACTGTTTGGATTATGCAGAGCCACAAGTACGTTCTGGGGGATTGCGTGCAGAGTCTCGTTTGTGACGAGTTTCGAAGCGATCCAGAATAGCAGGTAATTTGTCACGGTGGAATTGCTTGATTTGATACTCGGTTCGAACGCGAGACGTGCGTGGGATGCACCCAAGTCGGCCAAATACGGTCGTCCTGGGGGGTTTGGAAGCACTACAGTTCGTGGTGGGGATGTTGATTTGTTTTATTGAGTAGGTAGGTGGTAGAGGAGAGAATTGGAAAATAATTTTCGATGAAATAAAATTAGCTCCACGGTCAAGGCAGAATGGGAGACAGTCAAAGCTGATGGATGAATAGTTCCTTGCAGTGTTGACACTCGTGTGTGCTAACTAAGTCTAGCCAAATAGCCATGGGAATCAAATTCTGTAAAATGTTTGAGCTGTCAATAGGTTACACGTATACCTTCTATCCGTCTTGCATACAACTAATTGCAAATACGCCTGCAAAGGACTGCAAAAATTCAGGAGAAAACACGCTCACATTCCTGGCATGATGTCATTTGATTGATGTAAACGCAGGCAAATATCGACCACCGTATGTTTATTTATGTGTGTTACACGATATCTCATCTTTGTATCTGCGAAAATGGATAATGCGATAATGTGGACCAACTGAAAACAACGATTTTCATCCTAACTTTCGGTAGATGGTCCAAGAAGAGTCAGATAACCATAGGACAAGAATGACTACCTGATCGCATACGAGTGAACATTTACGCGTGTGCATGTGCATGCGCCCGCGCGCGGAAATGTAGACGTTATGTGTCAAACTGTCCTTAACTTATTCCCGATCATGATAACTATTAGGGGAACAAACTCAGGTAGACTACCTCCGACAGACAGAATGATAATAAAAGGACCAGTACAACTATACTGTTTTTTAATCAAAATCAGATTCAATCTTTCATCTGCCTCTAAGATAGAATCAAACACAAGACAAGTGTATGACCTCAACGTGAGATGGGTAATGACATGAATGTGAACGCATCGACCAGTGAGAATGAGATAGAGATGGACCAAAAACTCCCTGTATGCTTTTCACGAAATGAGTACAAATACCGATTAATGTTAATGAACTTCAGACCGATCAATAGCTGAACAAACTGAAGGGAGTCAAGTTACTGGACGAGAATTCAACAGTTTGGACGCATGTATTCATTCAGTTATCTGTGGTTCTCAAACGAACACAGTGTGGACGATACTTAAAGTTCCATAGATTTTCGTCCATAGAACACAAAAGAGTACTTTTCTTAAATGCGGTGCTTCAGGGTCATTTAACTCTGCCTATCAAGGACAGTTTAGGGCGAAAAGAGGTTTTTCTCCATCCTGCTTAGCAACTTTAAACCTGAGTCATTTATTCCTCCTCATAGGTAAACAAAGGAAACGGCCTCCATGCAAATTCAGAGGAGTTCAGAAAACAGCATTTAACTGTTTTATACAAGGGATATCAAATTATACAGGCGACAGTACAGTGCGTCAAAAACGCGTTGTTCGAGAAACCGTTTAAGGGTGCATCTCACTATGTTTATATCATAACTCCCCGGTAGTAAAAGAAAATAGAAATCGCTAGAACCGGCAGGAATTTGGGCACAAAACAGACTGAGCTCATTCTGAATTTCCCGCCCAGGCGATGACTTAAACAGGCCGACCGCGCGTATACGTTACACATAGGCCGACATCCACAACTGCTTTTTGCTTGATTTATAGTGGTCACAGGATCCAACCAATCGATGCGCCCACTGCCACATGAGATTGTGCAACTTACTGAGAGATTTTACAGTGTCTTTAAACACCAAACAAGTGGTTCACCCTGAGATAAAGGATCATCAATAGTTGAGCTCGATGGTGTTATTTATGTGTGCTTCCTCTTCCGACAAAATCCTCGGCTTCGTTTTCAAACCCCTAATTCCAAGCATTTCTACGAGCCAGCACGAGTTGCCTCATTTATGGATGTCAATAGATTCCGATGATCACTGAAGTTACTGTAAATTTATCTTGACCTTGTGTGTCTCTGACGGTTTAGCTCTTCTTATTGGTGAATTTCCGAGCGGTTGGGCTTGCGAGTTGACTAATATTTTGTGGAAACTTGGATCACGGCTGACGACCGGGTTAAAGTAGGCGGTACCAGTGGGCACTGTCTGTAGACCATATTTCCTTTCCGTAGTCTATTGGTGGAATTGTCTGATGGAAATCAAAACACTAAATTTGACGAAATTCAAATTTGATCTCTGCCACTGCTGTTGCTAAAATTATCACTCTCTATGTCTGAAACCATCTTATGATAGACATAATCCCCATGAAAACAGACATGAACTAGTGTGTGATGGGCATGCCGTGGTCACTTTTATTGTCTTTTGCTTCTGATCTCGTTTCACTGAATCCTTAAGACTAGGGATTATGGGAGATGATGAAACACAGATATTAGCATTGCTGATCCGCAACACGTCCAAAAACGCTTCACTTTAGGATGTCTGAAAAGTTCGCCGTTTATCCCACTGATTATTAGATGAATATTTTAGCCCCTTTTCGACATCTGTTTGAACAACAAAACCGCTAAGCGTGCACTTGTTAAAGTCAAGTAAAATTCTTTGATGTTTTTCGGAAATCCGTTCCCAATTGTGGCTGCAGTGCTTCCCGAAAATAAGATGCACTGCACCTTATCGGAAGATATTGGTCTATCGTGTGTTACAGTCACGATTTTACGGTTTTACTGAGATTGACAATGGGATTGTTCCAGATCTTGTACATACGAAGAATTTCTTTGAGTACACAGAGAAAAATAAACGAAATTTAAATCCGGAAATTCATGTCAGCTGTTTTGATCTTGTTAGGCCTCATCAGCCGTGCGATTACATTGATCACCCGGCCGCTAAACAGACTGTTTCCCTTTGTCCGTAAACAAAATATTGGAACCGAGTTTTATATATTTTTCGGTGTTGTACTTCGTTCATCTCAGCCCTAGTCTCGAGGGTTATGGTTCGGTTTGAACCAGTCCGAACTGCAGTATTGTTACACAACACGGGTTGCTTGTCGCTATCATACACTGTTTTGATGCAATTGTACGTATTTGTTCCTATCATAATTGTACGCCTCTGGTTTATGGATAACATAAATCACTGTACTGGAGCGGGCTGACTGTTATCGTGTGAAAACTATTTTCAAGGTCAACGGGTGAAAAACAGGTCGAAAATCATTAGACCTGGTATGGTCGATAGCGAGGTCGACCAGTCTTGTGACATCTGATGTGACTGAGCTGCGGCAGGATTTGAATTCTCATCACAGTTCATGCAGCATTTTAGAACCGGGCTAGATTTGAGAGACTTTGAGTTGTCATTGGATTAGTTGAAATAGTGATTTGTGAAGTTTGTGAGACATTGTATTCCGGTGTAAGCAGCATTATTTTTCAAAAATGTGCTTCCTCTGTCTTAATATGTGATGAGTAGAGTCGACGTAATATTTGTGTTTATGTTTCCCTCGTCCACCCATTTAAAGGAACCAGAATAGTAGACTGGATCTTGTCAAAATTTTTATTTGTATGACCAAACAGCACCTAAACAATTTATCTTTCTATGTATATGTTTTCGCATCCTGAAATGTGTGCATAAATTATCTGAACTCAGTGGTTCTTGATTCTGTGTCGCGGATCTGAATAAAATCTATGAACGGCGCCGATTTATTAGTGATCAATGCATTCTAATATCATGTACACCCACATAAACGATACTCGTTACCAATGGGGATTCACTCTGTGGATGCAAATGCCACTACTTCCACGCGGTTGGAATTCCGTATCCACTTGCTTTCACTCTGCAGTTTGCGTCTCATAAACCAATAAAAATAGGCTTATGTCAGTATCGCTTCACTCCCCAGCCGCCCAACCCAACCCCAACCCCTCGGTCCTCCATGATCAGGCGCTTATTCCATTAAACGTTCAGATCCGACGCATGCGTGCGGTCCGATGAGAAGGTACAAGACAGAGAAACGAGAATGGTTGGATGAAAAGAAAAGCACAATGATCTCATTCGATTCGGCCGCCGACCATGCGCAACTTGGTCGGGTCTGTTGCATCCTGATCACCATCCACAGGTTGCCCGAAATGGAGACTGCCACCATCGCGGTTGATTGCTTTGATTTGATGGAATTTTGTGCGCGTTCCCGCGAAAGTGTGTGGGTATGTGGTGGTGGTGAAATGTTGGTGTGTGTGTGTGTGTGTATTGAGACAACGTCAGTGAGCGAGAACAAGGTAGAAATGGATTTCATCCAGTCAAGAATCGTAACAGGCCTGATTTGGGGTAATCTCTTTGAATCTCAATTAAGGACACACGTGTCCCCTTTCGTCACAGTTTGTTTGCTGGTGTCCGGTTGAACGGTTAGAACTTTGTGGTTCGTAATACCGAGTGTCCGTAGGAGTGTGTGATGTCACTGACCAACCGGTCGACTTGTATGTGCGTTCTGAGAGGCCATTATGCGCAGTTGCGTAACGACAGACACTGGGGAATTTCACATACTTTTCTCCGCCTTACTGCCTTACGTTTTCACCCGCGGATGGATCCGTACATAATTTACCATCGGTTTATTTTCTGTCTGGTGGCGCAACCGAATGATATCGGTTGTTAGGTTACGGAGTAAAAAAATAATACTACCACATCTGTCCTTTCCTGCAACTACTGCTATGATCGCCACCACCATACTACACACCAGTCTAGATAGGATTAAATAGCTTCTACAAATACAAGAACATGACAGACTGAAGGAAACTTTCAAGCATAAAACTCCTCACTTTTTACCACCACTTGAACATCGTGATAAATTCGTCCCATCGGTGATTCTGCCACGCACGTCACATTTATTGATTCGGAAAGATCAAGCAGAAGAATTCGGGCCGTGCCAGGTGGCTGCTGGTCTAGTCGTTCCCGGTGTAACCGTCGATTTCCTCGATACCACTCTACTGTAGGCACCGGGGCTCCGACAGCCGTACAAGACAAGGCTAGACGACCACCGGGTGGAACAATTTGTCTAGGAGCCGGGATGTTTGTGAAGTGTGGTCGGAATCGTTTGGCTAAATCAGAATTAAAGAAAAGAAAAAGGCAAAGATTTGATAAATTGTATTTCGATTTTGTTGAGCATTGACTGTTTCAAATGAAGCCAAGCAGAGCCAACAGAACCATTCCCAAACCCATGCACATTATGCGAAGCATGGCACACAGGTAGATCGGGGTCGGATAGACAGAAAGGTCAAACAAATCCGAGTACGAAAAAGTGAACAAGCGCAAACAGAGTGCAATCATTTTGGATAGGTTGGATTTGTTCAACCGATGAGCACACCAAGCTCATGCTGAATGGACAATCAAAGAACTCGGTGCTAATTGGCCAATAGATTAGTAGTGCAAAGGGTGAGGGCAGAACGGCAACAAATCTCTTGAGTAGTTCACATGTTGACCTTTTGTGTACTCTTATTATTTTGCCACCAGTAATATGGACAAGTTCTAATTCGGGATATTCTTTACATTGGGAGAAAATAGATAATAGAAGTGAATTTAAGCCAAAGTCATCGTACTAGACCAACATAGAAGAAAGAGATTTAAAGCCATTGGACAGATAACCTGACTAATCGGTCATTATTGTGATTCACGGATGGGCCCTGTATATATATATATATATATGTTTGAGTGAATAATCAAGAATCAATTGGCTGTGAAAAACCCTTTAGGAGGTGTTTGAACTCAAGCAGGGCATCATCCATTCTTCTCCACCACATATGTCTTACCGTATTCGGTCATTCATTAAGCCTAAGGTGATACTGAAATTCACTGGTGAGATAGTTAACCTCAGGCTAGAGTTCGAATCCCGCCGAAGTTCCCGATCTATTTGCGGTCGAATTACACAAGAACATATGGCAAAACTGCCAACTAGTGAAGTTGAATGACCAATCAGGTTATCAAAGTTGACAGGCTGATAGAAGCAAAATAACTGGTTAATGGCCAACAGTTTTGCGTCAAACGGGGAAGCAAGAGCATAAGTGTCAGTTAGGCATGAGAGAATGGTGTCCCTGTTTGTTTCCATTCTGTGGGACAATGGATCAGGATAACCATTGTCCATTTGTCATTCTGAATTAGTCTTATCAGCAAAGCCACTGAGGATACAACTAACCACAGCCACTAGTTGGGAACAACTGACATAAAAAGATGAGTATGAGGTGGGAGTGAGGCGTTGCTGTACTGTAGCTTATAATATGATCTATATATCATGTGTGTGCGCGTCGTTTCCAGTAGAAACATTTGTTCTGTGCAGCATGAAATCCCCATTTCCGAATATAGGGTTGTGCACAATGCCTGGAAATAATCGCACAAATGCAGTTGGAAGTATTTCAACGAAACTGTGCAGATCCCGCCTAGAAAATAAAGCTAACCGAGGGAGACCGTACACCGAATTGTCAAATTCTCAGTCAGGGATTATGAACCTGGGTGTGTGATTAGCAAAACCTGTTTGAAGGAAAAAACGTGCAAACTAGGATTTGCAAAGCCGTTCAAAATTGACCACCGACCCTTCTTACCGAGCATTAGCATTTTGACCGAAAGCGGAAACCATTTGTGAAACTAGGGCATGATTGCACTCAGAAAACCAGCAAGCAAGCGGTATTTGCATAAGCAAACAGGCAGAGTTGAAGTAATAGTAGCAGTAGCAAGCTCGAGACAGCTAGGACATAGCTCAAGCTCTCGAGCGCTCAATATTGTGAAGGCCACAAAAACGGGAGAGGCGGGGTGTAGCTGTGGGGGTTAATTAAGAGGAGATTGAGAACGTGCAAATCTATGCAATAGGGCAGGCGGTATTGCGAATGCCAAAGCCATGTTGTGAGGGAGGTTTTGTTTGGGGTGGGTACGTCAGCTGGTGACATCAATCAAGAGGAACATACTACTCGGGGCGATCAGCTGTAGGCTGGTTTCCACATTTTCTGTTTTGTAACGGAAACACAGACAAGAAAAGAAATGCGCAAAAAATCAGTCAATAACTCACAATTGCTGGTTCTTTCCAAGTCCAGGGAAATCACAGATTAATATAAATCATCTTTGCCAAACAAAGTGTTATCAAAATTCACAGGTGTGTGTTTTACATCCCAAGGTTACAACAATGCCGTACACGACCAGATCGGTGTGGTAAGTAATTTTCAGTCGAGCATGCACACTGAGGCCCAATCCTCCGGAAATGGCTTCTGATCGACCTGTTTGATTTTCTCATAATAAAATGAACTATTGATAAGCCTTGATTCGCAATGTAAATCAGCTCGATATTCAAACGCATCCGGAGTCGAACTCAGCCAGGGGAGTTTCGACCTTTCCAATAATTTACTACCCACAAATCCAGTTGTCCACAAACTCAACCACAGTGTGTGTGCTTCAGTCGTATGATCATTGTACGAAAAAGTCACGTGAGTTATTTCTGGAGCACAGTTATGTTTTGCGTATGCATCAGTGGACAAGAATACAATGTTTGAATGCTATTTTCACATAACCCGCTTTGGACGGAAAAATATCACGTTCAGGGAGTGCTTCAATCAAGTCATTAACATATTAATCCCACGGGAGGGTAATAGGGAACGGCCCGGTGGAGAGCGAGGGGCGGGCCGAGGGGTGGGGCAAATCACGTGGATGTGCTAGAATGCCACGGAATTGCGGACAAGGACTGAGTGGAAATGTAACCACTATGGAAGCGGAACGGATCGTGATGGATGGAATCTCCCAGCATTAATAATTTGNNNATAATTTGCTGCCCTTGACACATATTCATTCCATTGTCGTTGAGTTAAGAGATTTCTTTGCTGGCAGTTAGTAGCCCCACAGGCACTAGCAAGCGGTGCACAATAACGAAGCCCGGTGTGTTTACCGCCTTTGAAACATACAATGCTCAGTGGGTTTGCATACATTTTGCCAAATAACTACCAAATAGCCGATTCCGCCATTCAATTAAATTGTAATTATTAATGATTTACATGATTATAATTAAACCAGTCACTTAGCAAACTGTGGACTAAGTAGTCAATTCAAGGCGATCCGGAAGTTTATATTTTGATGAGATTTCCTAACTGACAGCAGTTGACGGGCCATCATTTTCCGTAAGATCCAGGTTTACACACTATAATTTCCATTCCTTTAGGGGTTAGTAGTTCACCCGATGCCTTGGGATAGGTTGACGTGAATTTTATACAATCACCATTACACTGGAAATAATGAGTGTTGTGCACCACGGACCCTTTGTAAAGTACGATCAGTTTGTTGAAGAACTCATAACAATTAACAATCGATGGCAGAGATGAATCAGTGACTTAAATAGCACACAAAACAGATACATGATCACATTTTACTCATGAGCTTCTTCACCGACCTTTGTTCTTCTGATTCCGACAGTTTTGCACATTTTTTAAATCACAGATACTTGTGAGTACGGAGTGGGATGAATGTGAGTGATTTTGCTGGTTACAGTCCCGTAGTAAGAACCTTTGTGTTGAACGCCTCCCCGGTGATTTTCTATTGACTCTTTGTTCTAATCGGTGTTTTGTTTTCAGGAGGAGGTTTTACGCTACACCGGGTAAACAGTCTGCTACATTTCATACCCTCCAGTTGAGTATAAAGCTGACCGAACGCCTACTGTAGACGATGTCTGAACGTATTTAAATTAGTTGTCCCGGGTTAACATCGGTTGGTTCAACTGATTCTCACAAGCACACATTTTTCTTCACCTGAAGGTTCTGTTATTCAGATCCCGGATGAATCGGTGGATAGGCACTACTCCGGGGATTTCGAGTGTGGTTATTTCTCGGTATAAACGGACGGATTAGTGCATGTGATTTGGCGGTCTGAAGGATGTGTAATCGAAACCAAGTGTATCATTGCATGCAATTAGACCATCAGCAAGATATACTATCCTTTGTATTCCGTGGGTGATAGTATTTGATTAAATGTTGTTATGAGGTTCTTTAGACAAATCAAATAAATACATGAGAACAAATATTACAGTCCGACTGAAGTACACAGAACATGCAGATATTCGCGATAGATTCACCGTTCATTCTCAAACCTGCAACGTTCTGTGGACTGTTTCGATTACCAGAATATTTTGCGGAGTAAGTCGTTGATAGCATTGAAATCTAGAGTCTGCATGATTAAAAATAGACAATGCATACCTGATATGGACATGAAAGTTCTATTCGTTCCTGGATGGGAGGCATGTGAATCGTGTCAGATGACCGCGTTCATCCGAAAGCGGTTAAAGGACAGGGTTTGAACTCACTAACTGAGAGAATTTGAGCTAACTGATTATACCACTGTATTGCCGCCGTATCTGTGTTTCATTTGGACTTCTTTGTGGATACCCGAGCTAATGCAATTTTCCCATATCACTTTTCCGAAGTGCGGGCAGCCCAGATCAGAGCTAATGTGGAGCAGTAAGGAAGGGGCAGCACGGTCGAGTGCACTAACAATCAGAAATGATCCAGTTGGTCAGCTGTGATTAAGTAAACAAACATGTGTGCATTTAAGTTCTACCTTGACTATGGCGGGCTTATAAATCGCTTTAGATTGATGGATGCGAACCATGTACCAAACTGTGGGTGGCCGTGGTGGGGTTGATCGCAGTGGTAATGTACACAAGCTCAGACTTTACGAGATATCGCCTAATCGATCTTGACCAGTTCAGGGTGTTGCCGATCAACTCGTCCAAATAAATATCTGATCATGCGGCTCGATACATGGGTTTTCCCACGGGAGTGAATACAAAAGTGTGCATTGGAAGACCTACGGGAAAAGCGGTCGAATGCGCGTTCGAATGAAAACAACCATGTGACTGAAAATGTGTAGCGACACGTAAAGTGTTTTTCTCGCTCAATCTGAACAAAATAACAAATTTCGTTTCCCTCAGAACATTACGACAATAAGAAAAAGCGGAACTCAGCGTTGGATAACGAAACATTTTTGGGAAATAAGGTTTACACGCTAGCTGACGAAATTAAGCAACAGGAATATGTATATATAGTTATATAAGTTTTCGAAGATTACTTTTGAATCCCTTATCGTTGCCTTTAAACTTCTGGCCGACTTGTGGCAAACATGTCAAATCAGTTTCGATAATGCAAGTTTGGGCTGAAACGTTGTTCAGTGAAAGATTTGGCATAAAGTACTGAGTGAGGTTTTAATTGCTAGGTAGCTTCAACAAGTTAGAAAACCAAAAATGAACAGATCTGTGCACTCAAATTGTCTTTCACGTTCAAACCCATTCTTGTCATCTTGATGTCTATAATTATTAGAATAGGAACGTTGGAGTTCAATTGAATGTATCGTTCACCAAAAACATTAAATCACATCTAGTTTGGTGGATGATTTTCGAAAATGTTTCCCCCGCGCATCCACACACACGGGTTTGTGTTTATCGTAGTATCGTGTGCGTTCAACCGCCCGATTCATCACAGATTGTCCAAGTGATACTAGCACAACTTACCTTCGACAGCAGATAGTGTGTGTGTGCAACCAGAAAGCATAAGGGATGGCAATTTCCTCCAGATTGAGATTTATCAGTATGAGATACTCCTTGTCTCTCTCTCTCTCTCTAATGGAACTTGTATCTTTATTTCTTAGTTTATTTATTGAAATCCTTATCTCCGAGTAACATGGTCAACCGGAAACACCGCGAGGAGGACATACTGAAATAGCTGAGCCAAAAGGCAGTAGGTGTACCACCAAAGTTGGGCGGTGGTGATGGGTTCCGAACCTCAGACCATGGAGTGAAAAGCACGCCCGTGACAGTGAATCAAATCGCAGCTCCATTCTCGATTCAATACCAAACACAATTCTGTACTTCTTATCTTTCATTCACAATAGACTAGGAACCCGGGGGTTGGTCGATCATCACTGTGGCCAAATTTCCTCATCAAGTTGCCCGTTCCCTGTCTCCGACAAGTGCATGTGTATTTTCACTAAATTGAATAGAGTAACAACTTTTATTTGCTGTGTAGATGATATTCGACAACTGATTTCCAAACGCTAGCTGGGGTTCAACATACAGACAGATTCAGCAGTTCGCATCATATGCCATCCGTTGTTCTATTCGTTCATCACAAACTGATGTCCCAAATTTGCAACCTAAACGCTACATCTTTTATTGATGAGGTTAGTCGCAGATTGTTCAGCTTGAATTTCATGCCCTCGGAAAGAATAACTCTCAAAGTGTGACGGATCTGGTTTGGTCAAATATTTGAAATTCATCCCACAGCAAGAAATAAAACGTGTTGTACTTGAAAGCTTTTTTCAGTTTTGGCTTGACATCACCAGCTGTGTAGATCAAACGATGTACCTCAGGATCGAACTCGAGATATCATTGGTAGCATTGACTAGATCTTCAGGTAGCTCAACAAACAGTTTCACTCCGTCTTCACATATACCAACGTCATCTTTTCAGTTTATTGTGAACAATTAAACTTGTCCAGTTCATCATTAAAAACGCCAGTGGTTATGCACACCTTGGTTGGAAACATTCGGGCGATGATTACTGTTTACATACAAATTTTTCCTTCAAGCGTGCATGACACTGTAGCCATTTAATCTTGTGGTTTGATTTTTTACGTATCGTGATTTTATAACTACGGTTTAGCTTGCACAGCCAGGGTAAAATGATTTAACGTATGCAAAAATTACCGTTGGAAGGAGTAATTCCGTTTGCATGTGTTTCGCCGAGTATTTGAGGTTTTTTCACAATCAGTTCCAACAGAGGTGCATTGTGTGCATTGCATTCCCTTTCACGAATTTTGCAGTATCGATGATCTATTGGTTATGTCATAAGATGTGGGGTTTTTGTTCATACATACAAACCGAGACACTTACAGATAAGCATGTAAAAATGCATATATGCATGATTACACACATATATACATATATACATACATACATAGATAGATAGTTGCATCTCTTATCTATCTACGTGAGTAGTACTGCCGATATGTATGATCGTACATTGAGTTGTAGGATTCAACTCACCTCGAACAAGAAGGTTATCTCCGGAGGAAAGCCGCGTTCCCTTATTATTTGTGGCGGCACATTCATATTTGCCCTCATCCTCCTCGACCAAGTTGGATATCCGTAAATTTCCTTCACCTATTTGCATAAAGGGCGCATTGGAAAAGTGGGGGGAATGGAATTCGATATGTCTGAGACTGGATATCGTTAAGACCGGACATGTGAATGACAATCAAGGATGAAAAATTATGAAACAAATTTCCGTCGCGATGATGCCAATGGACAATAGGAGCACATGAAACAGTTTCGATGAAGATTATCATCTGATAGCAAGATAGGACGGTCTTTTTCCCACTAATCTACCCCGCCAATCAATTCACCGAATATACTATCGCAAATAGCGTGCAATGATTTCTGTTCTCTTCCTAAAACTAGAATTTCAAAAGAATGCATCATTTGATGCAGACCGATGTTTATTAGCAGCCCGTTGTGTCCGGACTAACTCCCTTAATTCCCCCGGGTTTCTACATTCACATGTATCTACCCTCGTTCAGTGACAAGCAACACTTGCTAACCAGAGGTTTTTCCAGTGCCTTTTGTTTAACTGCGCACGTAGTAATTTAGACAGTCGGTGAATAAAAAAAACATTAAAACAAATTTAATTCTATCAAAGTCATTTTTTGTCGTGCTCTTAAAAACAATCTACATTGGGATTTATAAATAGATAACCACTAGACAGTAAATGACAATCTTATCGCGCCAAACCGGCACCGGTCTTCTATTGGACTCCATTAGAGCGAATCAATGCTTTACTCACCGATAGCGGTGGTCAAGCGTTTCGTGCCATCAACTTATAGCATCAGAGGTCCAGTGTTCGAACCCCACCGACGTCGCTACTGCCGCCGCCTACCCTTCCCCCACTCCTCATTCAACTGCTTCATACGGATTTCCTTTGATTGGCCGCTTTCCTCTTCCGAGAAATCGTTTGTACCAAAATATATTCCGTAATGCAAGTAAAAATGATTGATTGAGACATAAAAAGAATTAGGTAATTCATTGCGTACATATTGCAAGTAATGGATTAACTATGCTCACATACGGTTTTGAATATAACTCTTTAAATTATAGCTGTCTTTTAAAATAAAAGGTTCAGATGGAAGCACGGATTCTTCTGTCACGCGCACATGGACAGATACAAGGACGCGAGTGGGATTAGTTTTATTTTGAAGACAAGTCAATTGACTTGTTTTGTGCAATACAACACGAATTATTGTCACACTGGTGGATCTGCTACTGAGATAAAATCATTGTTACTCTGTTAACTTATGGTACTAGCTTTCCTAATGTGGGTACAAAGTTGGTTCTCTGTCGTCTTGCTTCAATATGTGCACCAGTTTAGCCGTTTGAAAAGAAGCGATTATGGAAATCCGTGCCTGAGACAGTCATTGAAAATTTTCTCCATTCTCATACTTCCAGAAATTCGTGGAATCCCGTCTAACACTGAGTGGCCACATCGGGTCTTCAGCTGCAAAACGGACTTGATAAAGAGGAAGAGACTACTGTATTGGGCCTGAAACGCCTCTCCTCTTGGTTCACTTGGTCTGCATTNATTGTGCACCCCCAGTTCACCGTCTTAAGCGGGTGCAACCGCGGACGGGAGTTACTTCTCTCACGAAAGCGATCCTTTTGTGTTTGAGTTGAGTGCGCGTAAATAGCAGTTTACATTCATTTATTGTATTGAAACCCGGCTTATAAAATTCCCTATATTCCA